ACTTTGTTGGGAGGAGAAACCTGAAGGCAGACCTGCTTTCTCCTCATTGGCTGTTTCCGTGGGCAACATGTTGACTGACGACTACAAAAAGGTGACAAACACCTTTTTAATATTCTTAATGTGACGAGATCACATCTGTTTACACATCTGTATATCTGTTTACGCATCTGTTTACACATCTGTATATCTGTTTACACATCTGTTTACACATCTGTATATCGGTTTACACAACTGTATATTTGTTTACACATCTGTTTACACATCTGTATATCTGTTTACACATCAGGGGCGTTTCAGAAAGCAGGTTGAACAAACTCTCAGTCTAACTCTGAGCTCTGAGGTGATTTATCCTCAGGTGAGCTCTGAGGTGATTTATCCTCAGGTGAGCTCTGAGGATCAACAGCTGATTAGAGTTTGTTAAATCATCTCTGAGTAGGTTCACTCGATGTTCAGCGTGTGCACCAACACGATAAAAAGCCAACATGAATGGAGCCCTGATAGAATGATTCACCGTGGCAACAGGAGACAAAAAAGAGATCCTCGTACCTTAACCATCTCGAGATATAGAAACATCTTCATGAGGACATACGGAGAATATGAAGAGGTTTTAAGAAGGAAACAAAGTAACACTGCTGCAGCAGTAAAAGAGCGAGGAGAGAAAACAGCTGCTCGCTTCAGCGCGTAATGAAGTCTGTTCATTTAATATTTAATCAGAATTATAATACTGCAGGTCAAAACTGGTGGAATGGTTTTAAACCTACAGTTTATTTTCATTAAGATGAAATCCAGCAGAAGAAAAGAGACTTTAAAACAGCTCAAAATGAAAAATAAGAACAACAACTCAGAGTTTGAATTAAACCTGCTTTCTGAAACGGACCTCTTATGTTTCCACATCTATAAACAACCTGTCGTGTTTTTGTTTTTGTTTTTTTCAGCGGTACCTCCAGCTGACTGAAAGCTTCCTGAACAGCGACAGTCCGGCAGTTGTTCGATCCAGATTTGCTCCAACACACACACACGGTCAGACACATACCCACACGATTAAAAATGTATTCAATTAATCCACGCTCGTTTGTTTTGATTTGGAGGCGGACGTGAAGTGACATTTTACGTTTAATTTCGCACAGCATTGTGGGTGGTAAAATACAATTCATTTCCTGAAAGCACGCATCCGATCCATACTGCATAAGACCCGGAAGTTGGTATCCATACTGAAATGTTCAGTATACTGAGGTGGACCCAAAAAATGCATACTGAATGACCACGAAAGTTCAGTATACTGAAACTCCCTACTGAAAAGTACATACTGCCTACTGAACTGTGGCTATTATTGTGCATTATATAGTGGACACGCCATTTTGTAGTGCTGTCCGAGTGAGCATGGTCATACCCTATATAGTCCACTCAATGTATCCCACAAGGCATTTTGAAAAGTATGTATGTATGAGCGATGGTCACTATGCGAGCAATATATACCATCATGCATTGCAGTTCAAAAAATTTCAAAGAGCGGAGAATGGCGTTTGACTCGGCTGTTCTCAAACGGACGAGAGGAGCGACCAGCATGAACACAGAAACTCAATAAAGTTCATATTCAGAGCGTTTTACTGAAATCTATGATCGGTTTGAATAAAGATTAAAAGATCGTCAACTTTAGTGATGTTAGTTTGTCCTAATGATGATGACAGACGAGAAACCAGAGTCTGTGAGCATTAATAATTTAGTTTTGGTCCGAAAATATGTCTCATGTAAAATTCAATATTTTACAAGTATTTATTATTTGTAAATGTTTCGTGAAAATAAACTGTTATCACTGAAATTCATGCTGTTATTTACCGTTGTTATTGATCCTCGGCCGTTGTTAAGCTGCACATTTTAGTTGCACGACAACAATGACGTCACTGTCAGCTGCCGGTGAGTGAATGAGTAGTGTCCGAAATGTTTTTTAATTTTGCTGAGTGAGTGCACTATATAGTCCACTGCATTAAACTCACTATATAGTGAAGAGGGAGTAGGGAATGAGTGAGTGATTTCGGACACAGACTCTGTGTTTCTTCCCTTCTGTGTCAGATCATTGTTGTAAGCTGTTGTATGTCGTATGTGAGTCGTATGTTGGATGTCAGTCGTCTTCTGCATGAGTGTTTTGACTTCTAGTTTTTGGTTTAAAGTAGGTTTTTTTTTTTGCCTTCTGCCTTTTTGTTAAATGAAATCCTTTTGGTTATTCCCCTCCACCTCCCCCTGTTTTACACACCGGACATGACATGTTAGCTGAAAGTTAGGATCTTGATTGTTATTGTTTTTTAATTGTTGTTATTATTTTTATTTTTGTTTGTAAACATGTTTTCATGCCCTCTAAGTCAAACATCTGTTGATGTTTACAGGAAGCCCCGTTCCTGAGGTAAATGTGCACCTGTTAGAGTCGGAGCCAGAGGAGGCAGGTCCCTCCCATGGTACTTACGTCATTCCCACCACTGACATCACCATAGAAACCATTGGGGGTGCTGCGCTGGACGCAGACAGGTAAGAACACCTTAAAAAAAACTGTGACCTTTAATTTCAATCAAACTTTATCGTTCATGTCAATCAAACTTTATCGTTCACATGTTTTCTCTACCTTCTGTGTGCAGATTTCCTGAAACAAAGTATGTTAATTATTATCATTAATAACTGATGATAATAACAATGATGTTTCTGTCTGCAGCCCTCAGATGTCAGAGTCTCAGGACCCACCAGAAGCACAGGAAGGGACATCATCAGAGGACAGACAGGAAGCTGAAGAGCCTTCCTCTTCCTCCCCCAGGCGTGATGAAGAGGAGGAGAGCTGCCTTTGAGCTGTTGAATTAACCAACAGTATTCCTGGCAAGCAGAGCCGAGGGTTAAAGTAAATGACAGTCTTCCTGGCAGGCAGAAAGGAGGGTTAAAATAACCAACTGTCTTCCTGTCAGGCAGAGCCGAGGGTTAAAAATAACTAACTATCTCCCTGGCAGGCAGAGCCGAGGGTTAAAAATGTAACTTAGTGTGTCCCTGGCAGGCAGAGCCAAGGGTTAAATTAACCATCAGTCTTCCTGGCAGGCAGAGCAGAGGGTTAAATTAACCAATTGTCTCCCTGGCAGACAGAGCTAAGGGTCAAGGAGGGTTTAAAGTGACCCAAGAAGCAGCTGGTTCAATCTTAAAAGCATCATATGACATCAGGTGTTTTTTACCCACAGCTCTGACTGTCAGGCTGCTTCCTGTTTACAGTGCAGCAGGTACTGATGGTTCATCATATTCAGTGTCATTCTTTGTGTATCTTTGAAGTCTTTGTGTATATCAGTGATTATAAATGTTTCTATCTGCTCTGTGTTTATTCAAACTGCTTCAGACAAACATAAATAAAAGCTAGATATCTGAGTATAACCCAACACTCAGTCAGTCTGTCTGTCTATCTGTCTGTCTGTACGAGGAACATATGAAAGTCTCTGATGTTCTGGGCAGCCTGAACCTCCATCAGAGGGGGGAAAAACAAATTCCTTCAAGAGAGGACAGAGAGGACAACGGTCAGAGCTAGATCCACTTTGACTTCCTCACAGTTTGTCTGTTCCACATATGTAACAAGGAAAGCTGCTGGGTGCTGATTATTTTACTGGTTGCTTTAATGAAACTAGGAAGAGGACTCTCGTCGTGAACTAAAAGGTTACTAAACCATGAGATAAAACAGAAGGTTCAAATGGACTCAATAAAAGATCGGTAGAATGAATCCATCATTGAAGGTGTTCAGTCTGTGCACACAGTCCAGTCTCTGCAGGCCCTCTTTGCAAACTTCATCTGTGTTCTGGTCCTGGTTGAAGTTTTTGTCTCTCTACTCTACATTCTCCAGAGGTGTGCCTCTGATCATAAGCCGGAGGGTTGATCTACATCGGTACAACAGTACATCTGTACATCTGTATATCTTTACATCAGGAAATCTGAACATCAGTACATCTGTACATCAGGAAATCTGTACATCTGTACATCAGTACATCAGTACATCTGTACATCTGAACATCAGGAAATCTGTACATCAGTACATCTGTACATCAGGAAATCTGTACATCTGAACATCAGTACATCTGTACATCAGGAAATCTGTACATCTGTACATCAGTACATCTGTACATCTGTACATCAGGAAATCTGTACATCTGTACATCAGGAAATCTGTACATCTGAACATCTGTACATCAGGAAATCTGTACATCAGTACATCTGTACATCAGGAAATCTGTACATCTGAACATCTGTACATCAGGAAATCTGTACATCTGAACATCAGTACATCTGTACATCAGTACATCTGTACATCAGTACATCTGTATATTTGTACATCTATACATCAGTACATCTGTACATCAGTACATCTGTATATTTGTACATCTGTACATCTGAACATCAGTACATCTGTACATCAGGAAATCTGTATATCTGTACATCTGAACATCTGTACATCTGTACATCAGTATCTGTATATCTGTACATCTGTACATCTGAACATCTGTACATCTGTATATCTGTACATCTGTACATCAGGAAATCTGTACATCAGGAAATCTGTACATCTGTACATCAGAACATCAGAACATCAGGAAATCTGTACATCTGTACATCACAACATCAGAACATCAGTACATCAGAACATCAGGAAATCTGTACATCTGTACATCAGAACATCAGAACATCAGTACATCTGTACATCAGGAAATCTGTACATCAGGAAATCAGAACATCAGAACATCAGGAAATCTGTACATCTGTACATCAGAACATCAGAACATCAGAACATCAGGAAATCTGTACATCTGTACATCAGAACATCAGAACATCAGTACATCTGTACATCAGGAAATCTGTACATCAGGAAATCTGTACATCTGTACATCAGAACATCAGAACATCTGTACATCTGTACATCAGGAAATCTGTACATCTGTACATCAGTACATCAGTACATCAGTACATCAGGAAATCTGTACATCAGGAAATCT